GACTTCAATATGAAGAGATAATATCAAGGAAACTCACTTAAAGGTACGTTTTACAATACATCCATGCAACTTCTTATATACATGCTTAATTATATACATACGTAAGTACATGCAGACATAAATACATACATACATACATATAAACATAAATACATACCTACAATAAAGTATACAAAGATTAAAACACACATATTTACATACAACAGAGACAGCGTTTTACGGGGAAATTAACCATTGCAAGGGAATGACCTACTTTCTTCTCTAAAAGAGAGACGGAGAGAGAAAGAAAAGAGAGAGGGGGAGAGACAGAGATCAATAATTGCAAGAGAATGACCTATTTTCTACTCTAAAAGAGAGACGGAGAGAGAAAGAAAAGAGAGAGAGAGAGGAAGAGAGAGATAAATTAATGGAGTAAGTAGACAAAACATGCGTCCTGAAACATAAACTTCACCCCTATTCGTTCCTTTCCGCCTTTTTCTTTTTCCTCCTTCTCTCACACTTTCCTCCCTATCCTTTCCTCTTTTCTTTATTATCTCTCTTCCTATCCCTGTCATTTCCATTCATACAAAGTCTGTAAAAAAAATGATAATGATAATAATAATAAGATGATAAATTTTCGTCCTCACAGGAAATGAAAATATTCTTCATCAAGATAACGAATTTTCATTCATAAAAAAATACGATATAATAGTAATGATAATGACCAATCATAATCATCGTCTGTAATAAGTGATATTGATAACTGTGGCTATTTGATAATCATAATGGTCATTTTTTTCTATGTTGCATTTGTTTTTTTTTTTTTGTTTTGTTTTTTAATCCCCGGCAGATATTTAGTACGTTCCGCCCCTATGTCCACATCCCACCAACAAGCCCTGTTTCTCACCTGTTCTTGACACTGGTTATTACCCCCACTTTAAGATCTTCCCTTTTGGCAACGCATAGAAACTCCTTCATTTGATCTACTTGCCCTTTGATTTCCTCATCACATTTTACTAATTCACGCCATGTTCCAAATGCCTCCTCCTTCCTACCCTGTTCGCTACCATACTACTCCATGGTACTGTACGAACTGCGGCGTTTAGCGGATTCAGTTATTATGAAGTCACCCCCTCTCTTTGCTCTTTTTACTATGTTTTCCTATACTGCTGTGTGACCATTAATTTCTATCCCGTTTATTTGTTTTAACATTAAATCTTATGCACCATTGTTTTTCCTTTTGTATATAAAAATGATAAAGATGATTGCCTTAACGCCACAAACATAATAGTGTTAAGAATGAAGTGTGAAATCCGTGAAACCAGGGGTCCCGTCCCAGTTCATCAAGTCGTTTGCAGAAATCTTGCCCTCCCTTGATGCTGGCGAGGGATACAGGCGAAAAGGACTTGGTTAACCTCCCCATGCTACCCGAATTGGTAGCATGGGGAGGAATTCATATCATTTATATGCGTTTGTGCCAGTGTGACAGTTTTTTCTGACATTCAGCCTACTAAACATAGAATAAAATACTAAAATTAGACAATGGAAAAAAATGGTTTCCCCAAAGAAGAGTCACAGTTGCACACTCCTGAAAGTATTTATGAGGTTGATAAGAGCGGAGGAGGGTCGCCACGGTGACCGTTACGAGTTGTTTCGGGCACCCGTTAATGTCTCTCGTGCGCCGACGTGTTTACGATCTAGGAAGTGTTTCGAAAATACGCTTGTTGCAAGAAACGAGAGAGTAGCTTGATTTACGATGCCAACAAACCCCATACGATCAGGTATATGCGTCAGTAAATCTGGTCCCCAGGGCTGTATTCAAGTAGTGCCCTTAGTTTGTGCTACCCGCGGGACCCCATCTTGCAACATGGTATGTAATATCACATAGATATAGAACTGTATTCATTAAAGACGTGTGTGTATATCACACACACACACACACACACACACACACACACACACACACACACACACACACACACACACACACACACACACACACACACACACACATACATATCCAACCTGCAGCCACAGTGATGACGAAATAGAAAGCTTCTATGAAGATGTTTATTTAGCCAGCGAAAGAGTAAAAACCCATTTCACAGTAATTATGGTAGATTTCAATGCCAAAATAGGTAAAAAGACGGAACAGGCACTAGGAATGAGAGGGGACAAATGCTAGTCGATTTTGCGGAGGCTCGATCACTCAATATCATGAATACATTCTTCGAAAAAAGGCTAGAGCGGAAGTGGACATGGAAATCGCCATCGGACATCAAAAACGAAATTGACTTCATAATTTCAAATAGGCGTCAAACAAAGCCCCATTAAGCTCTCGATGGAAACTAAAGAACTTATGCAAAAACGTAGGGTCATGAAAGCATCGTCAAATAGGGACAAAATAGAATTAGCTGAACTAACAAAAACTATAGATAAAAAGAAGAGAGAAGATGTACGGAAATTCAATACTCAAATAATAAATGAAACAGTGATCTCAGGTACCAGCATGAAAACAGCT